CTGAGAACCTAGCTAGTAATTACAAAGTTGAAGTCTGTTGAAGTTGAACTTTGTTTTCCAACTTTTGGAATATCATGTGATGGGTCATGTGTTTTGGCGTGAGGGGGGAGAGTTAGGGAAGCTTTGGTTTGATCATTCTTGATGAGGCTCACCATGCCGCCAATAACAATTTGTATAACTGAATCATGCAAGACTCAATTCACAAGTTATTCATGAGGGATCTTAGCCTTGCTGGTGCCAGAGAAGGATGCAGAGGCCAATGATTATGGGTCTTACGGCGAGTCCTATTTCCGGTGGAAATGTTGATACAGCTTTTTGGTAAGTCAATTTCATTCTCTATTGCATTGGCATTGGGTTCTTACTTCCATCAAAGAGATGAATTTACATTCAGGCATTGTATCCCCTGTCAAACCTGCTCCAAACTTGCCAAATATGTCCACTGTCCAATGTTCAAACACATTGTCTACAGTGCACCCAGCATTGCACCTCTCCCCTTCTCCACTAACCTCCCCACTCTCGAACACATGTCCAATGGGCTCAACATCAAAAATGACCCCTACATCCAATCCCTCTACAACTAGCCCGCCCACAAGGCACCTGGCACCCCCAAGTATGTGTGTCCAGACCAGAGACTGTCAGAGACAATTGCAAACCAATGGATGAGTTGAATCTGCATCATCCTTTCCTGGGCACACTTGATGTGAGGATAGAGCCTGTACACATCAGATAAGGAGGCACCAGAGTACATAACTGTTAGGACCTTTTACTACCTTTGTTGTTAGAAGCTTGTAGTAGGTTCAAGGAATAGAAAGTAATTTATTATACCACAGCCAAGACAGAATATGCAATGGGGAGTCACTACGTACGACAGGTGAATGAGTCCTGTACAGTTTGTGTATTGGATGTTGAGGAATGATCCTCGAGTGTCGAATAACAAATCTAGTAGCTCAGTGTGACTAGAAATTGTATATTGAAAGAACTCGTTAATATGGTATTAATGAGGGTTGACTTGGAAGGTTCATGACTCAGTGTCTGTTTACCCTATGAGATGGAATATTCAAAAGGCTACAGCAGTCAAATAGTCTTGTTGATCAGTTCAACAAGTGAGAGGTAGATAAGCCAGTGACTCAGTGTCAATGGGGTTTGCTTGACTTGGTGTTAAGCAGAATAATATTAGAAAACTAGTGAACAAGAGAATAGAAACAACACAGGTCAAGATAGTTCAGGTAATAACAGCATTATTGTGAGAGATGTAGGTACAAGGCTTTTATACTCTGCGGGAAGACATGTGGTCTTGTGAATAGGAATTTGGAATGGGCAACTGGTTAGTTCGCCTCAAGAAATGTGTGTCAGATTTGGAGAGTCTGGGTTGAATGGTAGAACTATTATTGAGTTGTGTGGTGAGTGTACTGGTTGGAAAGAGCAGAAAAAATAGCATAGGGCATAACATTACCCCCCCTAAGGTCCTTGAGCCCTCAAAAGGATGCATTGTGCATAGCTTTTGATGTGTAGCTTTTGATGTGACACAGTGTTGTGACTGCCACACTGTCAGATTGAGTTTTGATGTGCTGGCTGCCAAATTTCGATTGAAAACTCTAAGTCCGAAGCCCTTATAAAGCTGGCACTCTGGGTTTTTGAGTCAATTTCTGCTTTCCCCCTGACCACTATGTCCTCATCTCAATTGTTTCCTGGCCAGCCTGTTGCCTCATCTAGTAATTCAGGAGGGTCAAGGCCCTGACTCATCATCAAAGTTCTGCAGCCTCTCCAATTGGCGTCCCTCGTTCCCTTCTCCAATGCTCTTCCCTCTGTTCCCCCAGCAGCCAAGAAGATGCAACATGTGGCCTTTGAGTGGGTGTACTTACAATCAGACACACTCACACTCATACCTGAGCCTCACACTCACAGTCGAGCACCTCACACTCATACTTGAGCAGCTCACACTCACACTTAGCCAGCTCACACTCACACTCTCGCTGGTCATGCTCAGACTTGTGCCGCTCAAGCTCAGACTTGGGTCTATGCTCACCTGTCCTTAGTTTTGAGACTTCAAAGGGGCTTTCAGTCAATTATATAGAGTATATACAAGATCGATTAGATAGCATACTGACTTAAATAAAAACATTATTAGTTTTGAGTGAGACTATCCAAGAAGGAGTTCCAGTCGAAATCGGCGGGATTTACATTCGAAGATGGGGCTGATTGATTCAAGAATTCTGTTGCATTAGTTTGGGCTACAGAATAGAAATTAATACAGCATATGGCGAATATGGGGAAGCTAAACATACGGAAGAGAGAGTAGTCCATATCCTGAACATAGCTTGAGCTTGAGCTATATGTCGGCAGCTGTTGCATGTTTGCATAAACTTGTGGCACTAGACTTGCCAGTCCAAGCTGCATGTAGTCTAGAGCTTTGTCTCATATATAAGATTATTCTTGAATGCAAAAATGAAAACTTACGCGCAACAGAGAGCGAATCATACATGAGTGTTTGCAGTGGCTGTGACAACAGCAACTGAGTTTGTACTGTGACTGGAAACAACATCAGTAGCTGCAGTAGTCGGAGGCTCAGAGCTCAGAAAACTTACTATTTGTGGGATAAGGATCAGTACGAGATCGTGCTTGAGCTTTTGATTAATGTATAGGAGCAGCCCAGCCAGAGGAACTAGATTCGATTCATGCCCTCAATGCCATCAGACCCATCACTGTCAGACCCATCACTGTTCTCAATATCTAAGGAACAAAGATTCAGCGGAGTAAGAAGCAGCAATATCTGAGTAAAAAAATTACCATCTTCTCTTTCAGATGCTTCATCAGAGTCGTAGATATAGATAGATTCATTTCCACTCTGATCCTTCTCTACATGTGTTCGCACAACAGCCGAGGCAGGGAACATTGCTGAGTTGTCAATTTCGGCATCTTCTTGCTTGATATGGAGTTCCGATGCTAGCATAAATGTGTTTATAGTACGACTTAGTCCATAATACAAATATTTACACACATTTAAGAAGATCTTCACGGCCTTCGTGTCGCAAATAGTCACATAATGCATCGAAATCAATCCAGGTAAAGCTGAGAAACTTCGCAGGGTTCCTCTCAATATACTCGGCATTGTAACACTGTAGACTAGATGCATGAGTAATCTAAACAGTAACGACGCGCGTCTGATGGAAGTGTGATGATGATGGGAGCACATACTTCATCACGAAATTTATGTAGAAGATCTGCTGGAACGCATCCGATGAGATTGTGAAGCTGCTCATCATCCTGTTGCCCAACCATGGGTGCAACAGGAGATGGTGGTACGAGAAGAAGTGGTATTTGATATACAATAAACAGCTAGTATATACTACCCGATTATCCCGACTGTGTATGAGCGTGAGCTGGCCGAGTGTGAGTGTGAGGCCCAGGCACGAGTGTGAGTGTGTATACCTGTGTGCTAGAAACCACGACAGCTGGGGGCATAAAATTGAGAAAATCAATTCATTTTACACTGAGAAAAACGGACCTTTTCCAGTTCTCATTCACTTTCGTGCTTCAAATGTAAAACAGCGCAATGTGATATTCCTCCGCAAACTCTCATCGAGCATTTCCTGCTGGTACCCTCTCATCTTGATAGGAGCCCTATTCTCCGAAATCGCATTGTTATTCTCGTTCATCGATGATAGTGGCGAAAGATGTCGATGAAGCTCAAACTTATAAGGGCGCCTAAGAGCTTAGAGCAGGGAGGGAAAGGGCCGTCTACGAAGCCACGGATTGGAAAGTACATCCATTCATTTCATACTGAGCTTAAACCTTCAATTTTGAACCTTCATCTGATATCTTGAGCTGGAAGAATGTGCGATGTCGGCATCTTCGCCTCAAGGACCCGCAAATTTGGCGGATCACGTGATTAGTTACGTGGGCATTGCTGCGGCCCGCTGCGCGCCAACTGACTTTGCATTTGTTCCATTGCACAACTTGAATACTGTACATAGGAAACTAGCATTGTAAAGTAGATTTAGTTGTACTTTAAAGAATTAACAGCTAGAATACACCAAAAGTGCATTGAAGGAACTCCCTATGACCAAAAACAGTAAGCTCGGCGCTAGAAGAAAAAATCCCCAGCTAACTATTGCGACATTTTCCTTATCATTTCATGCGTCGCTGTCTTTTCTTTGCATTTGCCTTGTCGTGTGTATGATATGTATGACATTTTTAAGGTAAGCCAAATTCTTTTTCTACAGAGATGTCGCCATTTTTCTGGTGTATTTACAATCTTGAGTTTACCACACCTTCCATCGTCGAGAATGTGGGAGCTGTAGCTAGGGATTTCTTCTAGCGCCGACTTCATTGTTTTTGGTCATAGAGAATTCCTTCAATGCACTTTTGGTGCATTCTGGTTATTAGTTATATAAAGTACAACTAATTCTACTTTACAATGCTAGTTTCCTATGTACAGTATTCGAGTTGTGCAACGCGACAAATGCAAAGTCAGTTGGCGCGCACGTATCTAATCACGTGATCCGCCAAATTTGCGGGTCCTTGAGGCGAAGATCTGTCGGCAGAAACAAGGCAAAAATACGTTAAACGCCCAAGACGTGCCCCGCCTCGGCACTTAACGTTTCGATTCCAATTTGGATGCTGTGCAGCAGAAGGTTCATTGGATTCCTCTCTGGAGATTGTGGAGAGTCAATAAACCTTATTAAATAAACAGTATGCATATCGAATACGTTCCGGGCTTGTATTCATTGCGAGAATCAAGATTCTTCACATCGATTGACTAGGATTATGATTCTGCCGAGAAAAATATTACTGTACCACTGAACCCTTGAAATTTGAAGAAAAAGATATATTCTGGAAGGAAAATTGTCATTCAAGGAAACAAGCTACTGAAGAACTATTCCCCAAAAACAGAAAAGGAGACAGTAGTTGTCAAAAGAAATAAAAGTGCATATATGTGCCTACTAAAAACAGGTTGGATATGGGTGGCACCAAGTACAAAAAGTGCATGGTCTCTGCTACGGTTCCATGGGGAATCAAACCCAGGCCTCTCACATGACCATGTTGCAAGACACTAAGAGGTGCGGGGGCTCTTACCACTGAGCTATAAAACTGTTAGAAGTAAGGAGTGTTAGGGTTCGGAAGTCTAGGAAAATAATTGCCCAGGAGTGCTAAAATCCAAAAATGGATTCTACTACCACTGCTGTCCTATTGTTGTGGACTAGGTGCGCAGTAGTGCCTCTGAGCTGTTAGGAATGGTGAAGGTAAAGAAAGTAAAATGTCTATTGTTGTCGGCCTTCAGTTATACTCTACAGTAAGTATTCTAGAAGTATCCACAAGGTAAGTAGTAGTTCTACAATGTTCTATGTATCACTAATACCACAGTAATTATCTGAGTAATGTATGAATAAATATTACTAAGCCTCACAGTGGGGTTGCTAGTTCCGGTCAAAGCATCGGATCACAACAAGATATCTCATTCAAGCCAAAGCTGCAGGAACACCTTAACCATTAGGCCATAGGACATTAGAAACAGTGCAAGGGAGCCTAAGGATGAAGAACAAGGCAAAGGCCATGTCAAACAGAACTGTCTCAAGTGGAAGAAGTGGTTGAAGTGGATTCAAAGGTGTCAGGCTAATTTAGCAGTAGATGAGGCCATCCTGGCAGATAATTTTGCTCACCAATTTTTCTACGTTTTTTACCTTTCACCTTTGACCATTCCGGGGTTGACTCCATTTTCTTGATTTTATTTTCTGTTCGCACTTGGACTGCAGGGGTGTGTTGGTGCAATCGGGTTATCAGTCCGATTGCTCACAGCCACTACACCCACCGTCAGGATGTGGCTAATTGTTTTTCCATATCTAGTATATATATTGCTTATATTAGATATGGAACCCTAGCACATTTGTTGCTGGTTCCCTACCTATACACAATTTTTCATACTTTTGCATCCCTCAGGGCTTAAAATCTAACAGCACATGTTCATGATCAGCATCATTAGAGGAAGAACGGGACACAAGAGATTTATCAAGATGAGACTAGGATGACCACGAGAATGACTATGGCTGGGCTGGATGGATGGATGGCTCGGGGTTTATCCTCTTCATAGAACTTCCACACAGGTAATTTTTGACCATTGGTGTTCGTGGTGCACCTGTCGCTCAACAAACAAGATACTCTCCCTCCTCTTCTCCATGATATGACCATCAAGGAGCTGAGCCAGGTCGAGGCTAGCCTGCTTCTATTCAACAGAAAGCTTCAAGTCAAGTATATCTAATGAGCGCCTCCCGAAGCCGAACAGTTTACATGTGTGAATGAGTTTCCATTTTTCAGAATGTGAGAGCAACCCATAAAAGATAAAACGTCACTGTTTCACTATTGCAGATAACATCAATTGCGAGTGCCTAGGTGTAACACATCGTGATGTTCCCCTAATCCACCATGACTGGTTAGCGCCGCCCTGTCCTCTTCGCTCAGACTGTTTACAGCACTTGCGATTAGAGGGCTGCGATCTGTGAGAGGCCGAAGAACTACGGAATCTCCGGGGTGAACATAATATACCTGAGACCATCGCTCGTAAGAGGCGAGATCACCTGGAGGGGCGCTAAAGGGGAACAAGGAGTAAGTATTTTCGT